TATCGTTTTTATTTGGGTTAAAAGTCATAAAGGGATAGTTGGAAATGAAAAAGTCGATTTAGCTGCTAAAGAATCCATTCTTCTTCCAACTATTAGTAATATTCATTCTCCGCAGGATATTATTCATGCAATGAAACAAAATGTTAGATCAAGCTGGGAGAAACTTTGGGAACACTTTGATTCTCATTCAAATAACCCATATACAATTATTCACCCTGTTCTTCCAAAATCTATTCCCCACATTATAAATTTTAAAATGTCTAGTTATTATTGTACGACTTTAACAAGGATGAAACTAAATCATGGGGGTTTTCCGTCTCACCTTTCCAGAATGGGTATTAATATATCACCTTTCTGTTAATGCGATAATTCTTCTTTTGCTAATATCAACCACCTCATTTTTTCTTGTAGTCACCATAATCTCATCGTTCAGATTTTCTTAAAAAACTTTCTTCCTTTTTGGTTTCAGTTACTCGGTCAATAGCAACTGAAATATGTTTTTCTTGTTGCCCTGGTGGAGACAAAATGTTTATATATGTTGCATCTTGTTTCTACATTTTGCAACAAATGGTAACATAGAGAAACATAAAAGTGGCTCTATGTTGCTTTAGTGGATACACACCTACGCCTACTAACTTTCACATCAGCATCATAGTTGAAAATAAAAACCAAACAAACGGTTCAGCTTAAAGTGGTTTACGTCTTTTAATTATTGTGTTTCGTTGTATGGATTTTCGAAATTTTCTTTTTTTTAACTATCTCTTTAGATATTTCATTTGTGGACTGTGCAGTCGTGTAGTGTAGTTATTGTAGTTATTATATTATCAAACATTTACCAATGGCTTCTGTTGTGACTGTGTAAGAAATACTTCAATGTGAAATAAGCGGCACATTGACTTTTGAAAAACGTTTAGAAATAAAAGGAAAAGGACGTCCAAAACCTCTTCTGGATCTTTAATAAACCACAAAAGACAGGGAATAAATTAAGAGGTATTTTAAGCCTACTATGTACAACCTTTCTGACTGAATTTATGGATATAATTTAAAGAGTACACATTTTTGTTTTTCCTGTGCCTATTTTGTTTTGTACTGATGATTCGTTATGGACTAAAACTGGCGTTACTGACATAAAACATTTAAATGGAAAGGTTGCAAAACATTCTTCTACCATACTTAATATGAACAATGTTGTGAATTTCGGTAGCCTTGAACGGGTTGATATAAAAACTTAATTAAGTAGTGCTTATCGTAAATTTCTAAAATACCATAATGATAAGATAATGTAAAATATGTACATTTTAAGTGAAATTACTAACTGTGTAAAGTTCTGCGGTTCATTTGAACTCGCTTTACAGGGTATGAAACAAAGTTATCTGAAAATGATGGAATCTTTCGTTTATTAATAGATTTTGTTTCGGAACTAGATAGTATTTTTAACAGGTTCATTGCCCACTGGGTCAGAGCAGTCTCTAGCCAAAACCCAACATTAGCTTTTATAATAAAATTATATAATATATCACTGTATCCTTAGTTTGGATATATTTTGAAGATATCTGTCACATTGACATCTTTTAACCATTGTCCATTTAACTGGATGCTGGTATATTTTTTCCACACTCCTAGCAAACACCAAGGTCCACATTTTTAGGGCAAATCTTTGCCCAAGGCACGCTTCAAAACCAAAGATATATAGCAATAGACCACCGTTTATAGTAAGACGTATATTTAATATTTAAAGGGTCTCAACTTAACTGGAAGCGACCTGTCATTATGAACTCTTCCGTCCAGTAAACTGGAAGTGGGTACTGAACCTGTTAAAGAACGTTTGGAAAGAAATACAATGTTTCAAGGAGTTTCCAAAACAATACAGAATGAGTTGTTAGACTCTATTTTAGCGGTTACACAGAAAAAATTAGAAAGCGAAGTTGAACGCTCTAGGTTTGTGACTATTGAAGCCGATGAAACTACAGACTGCTCAAATAAAACTCAACTCCTTTTAATAGTCTGGTAGAGCTCGAGTTTTTTGTGAAGAGTATGATCACTGTTTTATGGATTCTGCTTTTATTTTTTATTCGATTAGAATTTTCTTTTAAGAATTCTCTAGAGAAATCTTTCCTTTACAATTTGTATTGAAAAAACATCTTTTGTTTTATCTGAGTGTTTAATTTTAGTTTCAGTTTTTTCATCAAGAAATAATAATATGTTCACCGAATCCTTAAAACAGTGATCATACTCAGACTTTTTTATTTTTTTTTCCTGCGTTGTAGTAATATTTTTTTGTTGATTTCATACTACAGAACTAGTTTAAGTTACTATATAGCAACAAAAAAAATATCACTTACAATACCATAAATATTAAGAACTTGGTGATAAAATATATAAAACCTACGAATTTTATCTCATTACCGCAGCAATAGCTCTTAAGATAAGAAAAATATGGTTTACAAAAATCTGGTTTTAAAAGGTATTTAAAATATTTCAGGATGTTCGGTTTCTTCTGAGATTAATATTTATAGTTTTGTAAATGTATTTACCAAAATATACACAAAATTAATTAGGAATTCAAAAATATAACAAATTAAAGTTTATATACAGACAACTCGAAGTACAAAAACTCAGAAAACTCAAAAATCGAAGCACAAAACTCAAGAAACTCAAAATAGCCAAATAAGTAACACTACGCTACTGAATTCAACTTGTATGAGCGGTGATGAGTGGCAGGCGGCTTCGATCACCTTTAAATCTGTCTGACCACGCCTACAAACCCAAATTGGTTTCTGCACATTATGACTAAGTGTGCTCTTAACAAAAAATCGAGCTCTACGTATTGAATGGAAATATTTATGAATAATTTTGGAAATTTATTGAACCAAAAGGTACTACCGCACATGAAATACCTGCAGAATTGGAAGAGCTAAAAATTAATGAAAACTCCCACAATGTTATGAGTAGCAATATTGGATGTGTCCAAAAATATAAAAACAAGTATCCATCAGCACACTTTGTGCACTGTTATGCGCACCTATTAAACCTTGTACTTCAAAAAGCCGCTGATCAGTAAAAAGAAATAAGAATATTTTTTGCCAACTTACATGCATTTTCATCTTTTTTGGAAAATCTCCTAAAAGAACTTCAGTGTTGGATCGAATAGTCAATAAAATATTACCAAAATCCGCTTCCACCAGATGGTATTTTAATAGCAGATGTATTGAAACTGTCTACATATACAAGAATGATTTAATATATTGTTTGGAGGAAATAATGTACACTGAATTTGACACAACTACAATAAATCAAGCAGGGGGTTTAAAGACGTATTTAGAAAATTAACATTTTTTATATTGGTTGAATTTTTTTTCACTCTTTACGCCACATGCTAATAAGATACTTTTTTTGTCAATTGCAAACATCAAATATCGATGCTATTTTGATTGGGAAACATTAATAATAACACGTCATTATTAATTTGTACTCATTAGCTGCAATTCCAATTTTCATGTTTCTAACTTCAAAGAGAACAAAAAAAGTTTATACTCCCATACAAACTTTTACCCCCGTTTGCCCCCTCAAGATATAAAAATATAAAAACCCTAAAACACATTATTATTAATTTGTACTCAGTAGCTGCAATTCCAATTTTCATGTTTTTAACTTTAAAGAGAACCAAAAACATGGATACCCCCAAATAAATTTTCACCCCCCCCTTTCCCCCCTTAAAATGTGAAAATCCAAAAACCCTGAAGCACGTCATTAATAATTTCTAGTCAGTAGCTGCAATTCCAATTTTCATACTTCTAAATTCATAGAGAACAAAAAAAAATCGATAGTCCCTTACAAACTTTCACCCCCCGTTTCCCTCCCTTAAAATGTAAAAAATCCAAAAACCCTGAAACACGTCATTATTTATTTATGCTCAATAGCTGTAATTTAAATTTTCATGTTTCTAACTTTAAAGAACAAAGAGTTTCATTAAAAGCTCCCTCCCCAATTTCCTCCCATTTCCCCCCTTTAAAGTTAAAATTTTTAAAAATCCTTTCTTAGCGGATGCTTACGTTATAAAATAAACCTATGTTCCAAATTTCAGCTTTCTAGGCTCAGTAGTTTTGGCTGTAGGTTGATAGGTCAGTCAGTCAGTCAGGACAAACAATTTTATATACAGAGTGGCCCAAAAGTCTGGAAACGGCTAATTATCTTGTAAATTGCTAGTCCTAATTGGACAAAATTTGGGGTACACCTATTTTGGGATACGGAGATTCCAGATTTGATATTTGCAATGTTGCCAGATTTTCCGTTTCTCTTATATTATTAGTCACTTTGGTTTTTCAAATTGATCACCCTGTATATTAAGTCATTATTGGAATCTCCTATTCAATACGAGTTCAACCATATGTAACACTTAGATTTTATGTAGTCTAGAAGGTCTTAAATAAATAAAACAGAAGTCTGGCAACGCCTAATTGTCTCATACATTTTTTATTACAAACTATTTTCAACTACATTAAAACGTAACAATTGAAAGATTACACCATTCTTAACATAATGGTTACTTTATCAAGTGTTCAAAATGTGCTTCATTTGTGAGTTGACAGTACCCTTATCCCTAATCGATAAAAGAGTGAATTTACCACATTTCTCCATGATTGTTTTATTTATTTAAGACCTTCCAGACTACATAAAATCATAAGTGTTGCATATGGTCGAACTCGTATTGAATAGTGAATTCCAATAATGACTTAATATATAGGGTGATCAATTTGAAAAACCAAAGTGACTAATAATATAAGAAAAACGGAAAATCTGACAACATTGCAAATATCAAATCTGGAATCACCGTATCCCAAAATAGGTGCACCCCAAATTTTGTATAATTAGGACTAGCAAATTACGAGATAATTGGCCGTTTCAAGATTTATATGAATATTATACTATTAGTTGAATATGTATTTTTTTTTAAATAATGCCAATTTGAGAAAAATAATGAAAATATTTTATTCATATTTTATATTTTAATTATAATATAACAAATATAGTATTTTTAAGCTGTCATAGTAAATATAGCTTCATAACATGACAGTAGTTTTTCCGAATCATTTTTTCCGTAAAATTCTGATCTTATTTTGATAGTACCAGGAGGGAAATCCTTGTATTTAAATGTGCTGAAATCTAATGGGTAATTCTTGATTTGATATTTGCCCTAAAAAACATTTATAATATAAAATATTTTATTCGTAAGGACAGTTGTTTTTTAAATTTTTTCTTTTAAATATAATTTACCTTAGTATAAGGACATGTCTGTTTCATTCCAGCTGCATTTTCTAAACCGTTTATGAATTCGCCCATAAAGTTTTTGGCCATTATACAAGTGCCATCGGTTTTAGTCACAAGCTGGTTCCAGTTTTCACCTTCTTTCTTATAAATTATTATTTTATTCTAAAAGCAAGGAGAAATCAATTACATATACTTTAAAGCATACTTACAGAATTTTTAGAAATAGAAAATTTGATTTGATCGGTATACATATTTAAATAAAATGTTCACAATTGAGTACCTAGATACAGAAAACTATAGTCAATTTTGGAAATTATTTTCTGTATAATTTCAAAAAATACATTGAACCTTATTTAATAAAGAATGTTTTACTAGGAATATTTAGTTAAATATTAATATTTACGGCTAATGAGGTAATAAGTTTTGAATATTTACCATTACATCATTATCCACATCTATTTTAGTTTCCATGAATCCGTCCTCAACAACCTGTTGGTTACCTTCGTCCTTCAAATTCATTCCCCACATGATAGCATAGTCTTGTTTCTCACAAAGTTGCATACTCTCTATGTGGACGGCTGCACCAATCACCTAAAGACAATTTTAAATACAGTCTTTTTATTATTAAATGCTCAATTTCATACTTCAAAATCATTGCATATTTATAGTAACTTCTCAATACTATTTATTTACAAGATCCTGTTATTGTTTATATAACCACAAGAATAATCAAGAATACAGAGTACCATCACCATTGGCAGATCTGGGCAGTATTTATATTTGTAAATACTTTTTCGTATTTAAATACTTAAAAGTATTTAAATACGAGGTATTTAAATACTTTTGGATGAGCGGTATTTGTATTTGCAGCTGTAAATACTTTCGTAAGTATTTAATATTTAAATACTTTTTCAAAATATTCTAAATACTTTTTAAGAATTTAAATAATTTTCTGGTATTTAAATACGTTTTTGATATTTAAATACATTTCTTGTATTTAAATACCTTTCTGGTATTTACCGTCAAAAACAAAAACATATGTTTCAACAAGTTTCAACTTGTTATTAAACCAAACGTGCAAAATAGTGTGGATGAAGTGCTGAAGTATCAGTTCGTATTTAAACGTTAGAGAAGAGTCTTCATTGTGCTAGTTGTCAAGTTGTGACTGTTGTGATTTGTGTTACAAGAAAAAAGAATTAAACCAAAAAAGTATTTATTATTATGATTTGTGATTTTACACAGTAATTAAAAAATGTTACGAGGTACAGATGGTCAGTTAATAGTAAGTCTGTACAAGAAAGGATATTATAATTCCAAATAAGTCGCGGTTTAAATCACTATACGGATACACTAAACAAGAGTTTACTTAAAAATTTTGTTCTAAAAAATTACAAATTGCCCTTCTGTAGGACTTAAAGACGTAAAATAGCAAATACAAGAAACAATATTAAAAGCAGTACTTTTATTCATTAGCAAACAATTTTCATGCACTGGCTGTGGCAATCTATTTAAAAATATATCTTACGAAAATTATAATACAATGTCCGATAAAATACTTTAAGTTGATCTAATAAAATAGCGAAAGCAGTTATTACTGGTTTTGATTGGTCAGTTTTGGCTAGATTTGGTTGTTTTTGATTAGTTTTTGGTTGGTTTACTCCCATATTATCTCAAACATTTGGTAAAAGTTTGAGGTTTGAGGCATTTAAAAAACAAAATATTCACTCTTTTTTGCCTTAAAAACTGCTGCGTAACACGCATTTTTTTCTCGCAGTGTACTTACAAGAGTATGTACTTCAGCACGTTTTTATTAACTCGTTTTCCTGTATATATGTATGTCTGTATGTTTGGTATCAATTTTGCAATTGGTTTTAAACAAACTTCCAATTAGCTAGAGACTTTATTTTATTTTTTATATTTTAAACATAGCTCAGAACTGGATTGTAATTGATAATGTTGTTTTAAGGTATCTAAATTAATAAAGTATTTTACCCAGAACTTCTCCTAAGAACTAAATTTGTTCAATGCTGAACCAGTTCATGTTATTGGAATCAGCTGAAATTTGGTATACATATCTAAACTCAATCACAATGCAAAATTATGGTGTCCAAAAGTTAAAACGTTTGTGACATATATTCATATGATATTTTCTTATTTTTCATTCGTATAGAGTTTTTGGACACCCTGTATATATTTTTTAACCAATGTATTTAAATACCTTTTCAGGTATACTTTTGTGTAAGTATTTATCCCAAACAAGATTTAAATACTGTAGGTATTTGTTATTTAAATACCTTTTGCTTTAAAAAAGTATTTAAGATTTAAATAATCGTATTTATGAAGAAGTATTTAGTATTTAAATACTTTTAAAAAGTATTTTGCCCAGCTCTGACCATTGGTATACAGCGCGTTCGTAAAGTTGTTACCCCCTACCCCTACTAACATCTGTACGGTTAAATATAAAAAAAAGGCTTGGACACTTTAGACAGGTCGATATTTATTTCTAATGAAGCACATTTCTGCAATACAAAATTTACCCTGCTTACACAACTAGCAACTCCTTTGAAATTTCCCTTGAACATTTTAAATGGCAACTTATAAAAGTATGTTTCTCTTTTTAACGTTTTAAATAATTTAAAAATTTGCTTAATTAGTTTTTGACTTGGGGATTATATATTTTCATATTTCCAAAGTTAGATTTTTTTCTGTTAACAAGGCAATGGAGAGCATTTTGAGATTTTATAACTTAAGTATAGGTGTACAATGATGTAATGCTATTTTGTCTATTTTAAATTTAATTAAGTTAAAAACTAATAAAGCAAATTTAAAATTATTTAGATTGTTGAATACACAATTAAAAATCCTTTCAAATCAGTTATCAGTCGACCCCTGTTGCCATTTAAAATACCGTAAAGTGGGGTTACTTTGCACAATTTTTTTTTAATATCTATGGTTCTGTTGGGAATTATAAAGCCCACTCTAACTATATGAAAATTTAATACTTTGGCTACATAATTTTGTAATTAGAAAGCATAAAAAAATTAGAACCACATTTTTTAAAAGTTTAAAAAGTTGTCAACGTTACCTCGACTTTGGGGTTACTTTGCCGACTGGCATTTTTGCACGTTTTTAGGCATACAGGCCAAGTTAACAGTCTCGAAGGGTTACTTAACCCTCCTTTAATGTGTTTTTTCTAACCTTAAATCTGACATAATTACAGTTTTCAAAATGAAGTAAAACATAGCTAATATAATAAAATGAAAAGTTTGGGAGCTGGACTTTAGTGAACATAAAGACTTAATTTTGTTAAAACTTATTTTATACAGGATGAATCCTAAGTTAATACTTTTTTCTACACCCACATGGGTATTGGCTTATCTACGCACAGATTACAAAACGAAAAGTATATGCTATTGCGTTCAACTAAACGAATATATTTCATATCCATTCTGCGGCAAAAAAAAATAAATCCACCAATCACAGTTCATATTTTGGACACCCAACCAAATTTTAATTCTGTCAAATTAATTGTCAGTATATTTTTTAGTTATTGAGATTAAATATACGTTAAAATGAGTAATTTTTGTTTAGAATCGATAAATAGGTAGCATTTTTATTTTTATTTGGGCCACATTTAAATAAAATAAATTTTAATCATACTATATGAAACTAGTTTAATTACGAGTATTAAAACTAAAATCTTAAAAATGGCGGTGAAGCTGTGGACAGTGCATCTGCCTTCCACGCGAATAGCCCAGGTTCGAATCTGGGCTAGGGACTAATTTTTTTTGTCAAGTTTATTTTATTTTATAAATTAGTAAAATTCATAAATTATTTTTAAATTTGTTATTTTACCTTAATAACCTAAAATAATGTTTTAAATTTGTCGAATTTCATCAGTGGGTCGGAGAAAAAATATACTGTACAACTCGAGTGGATTGTTCACTCTCGTTGCACAAACTACTATTTTTTAACTGTGTATAAGAGTCGTTAAAATAACTTTTTTAAAAAACTTAAAAGTAAGAAAGATACAGAATTTAAAAATCTAAATCTGGGCTAGGAATTGTGTACGAAAAGTTAAACGAATATGACCGTTTTGGATACATCGTGGAATATAGTAATGCGTTTTTAAGGATTTCTATACACATTAAAAAAGTATCAATTTATTGGGAAAACAAATGTGATCATAGACGCAGACAAATAATGTTTAAAGTAATTAATACTTTTCCCTATAAATTATGAATGTATATCTTTTGAAATCAATTCTCTAACAGGAAAAGTTAAATTGTATACAGTGTGTTTTATGGTGTAGGAAGTTTTACAATATATGCATCTAACTACAATTTGTACAATTTTTGATTACTTAATTATAGACAATTTAAATAAATGAAGAAACGTTTACTTACTTTGGCGGCAACAAGAACAAAAAAATATTTAATAATATAAAATTCCATATTAACGTAAAAAATAATGCCTAATATTTGTTGTAGTTCATTTATATACTCTCATCATTTTCATACCATTGATCTGGATAATGAGATAAAAACAATCGTTAAAATTGATGTTTTTTTTTATGGTTTGTTGGACATTATTTCAAAGATGTGTATCATTGATTATCGAATTTAATAATTTTTAAAATGTGAAATTAATTACTTCCTTTTTTTTAAGTTGAATGTTTGATTAATGACAAATACCATTTTTTGTTCATTTTTGAAACTATACAAATTGAGTAATATTAAAAACATTTTTTGTTTTTACTATTTATTCTTTCTAACAATAATAATTATCATTTGCTATAATAATTAACATAAATAAGAAAATGAAGAATTAAAATTTTACAATAAAATTACTATCAAAAGGTTACTTTTTTTGTTTTAGATATGAATTTACCCCAGTTAATTTACCTTAGAAATAAATTATGGACATCAATTTATAATCTACTTTCAACGCTTATCGAATTTTGCAGCCAATCTGAAGACCTTTTAACTGATAGGTCAATAGAAGTGGTGGATATTCTTTCTGGAACCATTACGGAATTGGGACATAGCCCTTTTATCGAAAGCCTTTGTGAATCTATTAGTAATTTGGGCACACACGGTAAGGATTTTGAAGAAATTCCACTTTATCCCATCTTTATTATAGCATGTTCAATATTTCTTCTAATTGTCTAGATTTGTTTCTATTTTGTTTTTTATTTATTCTGTGACGATAGTCTAATTTATTTATAGTATATTTATTTAGAACACACTATTTACAATTTATTTAAGACGTGCTATTTAATTTATATAATACTTAGACACTAACTAACAATTCTAATTTATTTATTACATTTTAACTTTTCATTCCAATACTCTGAACTAAACTAAACTGTGCGCCGATGAGCCTGCTATTTATATTAGTGCAACTCTGCTACTAGAAGACACCAGAGGCTCTCGAAAATTCCATCTCTATGACTAAACGGCACTCTCCGCCCGTTCTAGCCGTTTCTAGTGCGTCAGCGGCAGGTATTCCTGAACGTTTCGTCGCCTCGAGCACGAGTCGGTTGCCATCTGAAGGTCGCGCGTACACAGGGTAGGCTTTAGGAATTTCATGACATTACCTAGAAATGTTCTATTCCATACTAGGCGGTCTTGCGTCATTCTGGTCAGTCCATTCCACATTTCAACATCACTTTCCCACTTGTTGATAGTTATTATGCTAGTTAAGTACGAAGGTTGTAAAGAAAATTCCTTTCTATCTCACAGAATCAATTTATTGGTAATTTAATTGAGATAGATAGGACTTTTCTTTACAACCTTCATTCTCAATTCCAGCCACTCACATATAATGGCTACCCTCACTCCTAATTATGCTAGTATGGGATGTTGGTTGCCAAGATCTTCAAAAATGAGTATCTGTTTCCCTTTGGTCAATTTAAGATAGAGAAGTATGTGACAACTATTCCTATTCTTTTGATATATTTGTTATAATACATTTGTTATAATACGTTAGGAGTAGGTTCCATCTCATCTTTGCCTAGTATATCTTGGCAGTGTCATTATCATGATGTTTAAGAAAATCTTTGACAAGTTTATAATACTCAATTTTGTTTCATTTTCTTTAAAAATTGGCATATAACTGTCGTTCATTCTTTATTGAAGAGTTTAAAAGGTTTTACCCCAGCTATCTTTTTGGCGATTGCCTTTTGTCTTACTATCGCCCGAGAATACCGATCAAGGAGAAGCGACAGTAGCTGTCGGTGCCTTTGATATCGGATGTACCTTTTTCACAGCATGACTTTGATTGATACACAACTTAGCACGCTGAGAAAACATGCTTATTTTCTACACTGAGCGAAATAGTTTGGCAAATTATCTGAAATTATTGTTATAGTCCATGCACAAATGTTGCAATGTGATTTAATTACATTGAAGTAGTTAGGGTTAATAGCAATGGTGAAATTTCGGCACCAAAATATAATTCATTATGTAATAATTAATTATTTGTTATAAAAGTAAAAGACGTTTATTATTTTATAATTTATCTATAAAATTTGTTCAATATTTGGTTTATTTATTGTTAAAAATGTAATAAAAGTCCCATATTTAAATTAAATTACCCTTTCCATAAGTAAAAATAAGGTAAATAAAATTAAGAGTGCCAAAAAAAATTAGGTAACAATTAAAAAGACATTAAGTTTGAGAGGTTTAACTAAATATTTGCAATGTGCATATATTTTCAAAGCTTTTAGGTTTAAAAAGTACTTACATATTTTTAGAATTTCTAGATTTATATTATATTAAAAGGACTTTCAAGTTTATCACTCATTTCTGTAGAAACAAATGTTTTCTCGTCAAGTTAAACGAGATGTCATTTAAGGTTTATGTATTTAGAGTTAATTACCTGGCCTGGCTATCACCCAGACAATACAAATATGTCCATTGGACGCCTATTCGATATACAATTTTGGATGTCTAGACGTCCAAACATGAGTTTCCTGGACTTCCGACATCCAATGGACGTCCAGTGAAGTATACAAATGGCACACTTTTGACCATTCAGAGGACGTTTAATTCTGGAATATATTTGGACGTCGAATACTGGACATTCAAAAAACGTCCTGGATTATATTTCCATTGAGACCACATCCCCATTTTTTTTTACAGAACCGCAACTCACCTAACACTATTTTATATTTTTAATAATTTGTTTATTATTTTCGCAAACCGCTATACACCATTTATTTATTTTTTATTAAAAATTCCTTGACCTGAGCAGATATCGAACTCACGACACATCCATTATCGTTTTACGCTTTCAACCGCTAGACGAGCTCGACCAAGGAACCACTTGAAAACTTTTTACTAGATACAGTTATAATTGAATAAGATTTCAAACTTCTGCTGATAGAATGAAATGCAATAGATTCAATTTGTCAATTTTTAATGACCAGTTATATTAAAAAAAACAAGTATATATAGATGGGTATTATCTGGTAGGCTTAATAAATAATGACCTAAAATGGACGTCAAAATACTACTAAACTTAAAATTAAGTCCAAAAAGAGACGTTCTCTGGGTATCGATATTCAGCTGTCAATTTAATTAGCATAAACGGACGTACACTGGATGCCCGGATATGGACGTCCTGACCCTCAAATAGATCTAAAGTGGACGTCCATTGGCCTATGTGTGCATAGACGAATTTTTAGAAATAGTACTTATTTAAGTATGCACCAATATTTCCAAAATCAACTCCAGTATGATTCATTCAATAAATGTAAATATGAATGGGCAAAACATCTTTATATTGACATAATTGTAACTTACAATTTAGCCATAATAAAGGGATTTAGCCCACTTTGACCAATCCTAATTGAAACACGCGAATTTATATTTTTTTAAATATAATTTCAAAATAAAATAAACAAAACTGCAGTTCATTGTTTATTAAATTTATTTATAAGAACAAAAACATATATTTCACAAAATACAATACCAACATATGAAAAATAAAATGTCAAAAATGATTAAATCATTATACTTAATATTTATGCATGTGATAAAATTCTTAGTTTCCTAATAACTTTTTTGGCACATTTTATATCTGTATTAGAATACCTAAGTGTGTAAAAATCTTGATCTTATTACTACACAAAACAAACACCAAAAAATATCACTTAACATTGCTCACGTACTAAACACAACTTGGACTGACTTTGACAGATAACATAATTTTGAGTGATACACAACTTAGTTTCGCACATGCGCGTTACAAAACGGTACACTGAAAACACCAAGCTGTCGCTTCTCCTTGATCGGTATTCTCGGCTATCGCCTTTGGTCTACCTCAGTACGATCTCTTGGTTAAGCGAGTCTTCAACTACGACTTGATGACATTCTAGTACTAGTGCTGACGAAATGCCTGTTCTCCAAAGTTTTCCCAATTAAGATCACTCTTATCTCGTGATTCTTGTGTCTTCAGTATACTCTTCAGTTACCCTACTTGCCTTACATGCATTTTTTTTATATACCCACTTAACTGTCAAATTAATAAACATAACATAAAGTTTTAATGAAAATCTTTATACATTATTTTTATTTATATGCTCTTTTTAGATCTGCAAAATTCGGCTTTGAACTTTTTGACTTGTCTACTACGAGTAGAATCAATTAGACACTTCACCGACAGGATGCGTTCGAAATCCATACAGTCTTTACTAGATAATGTCAAAACAACGCGCAGCGTCATCTTACTAGACAACAAAACCAGTACAAAATCAGCCAAATCAATGAAAAAATCATTGGAAACGCAAAAAATGAATATTCTAGAAGAGATTTACTTCGGGAAAGTGTTTGTTAAACCCGATGAAAATGTTAACGATGACATAGAAGTTAGTATTATTGAAAGTAACGATGACGGATTAATATCGGGGGCTGAAATTTGTAAAATTCTCTTATTCTTATACGATCTCAGCAATTTAAAAGAAACCAATAATTATTCCAAGAAAAAAGGTTTGCTTACCAAAGCTTTGTCCAGCCTTTTGTGTATTTCTAAAGAAGCCAAGAGATATGCTTTAGATAAAAATCTGGTGCAATGTATAATAAAGCAATTTAGAGATTTTCACATCCGGTTAAGCTTAGAATCAGGTAGGAAAATAATGCCAATTTAAATATATTTATAAAATATTGTTTTAATATTTTTTTCTAGTGGAATGTCTGCGAAAAGCATCAGATAAAAAACGAATATGTCCCATGCTGAAGGAAGTAGACGATTTGGTATGTCTAATGACCAATTTTATGGTCGAAGATGAAAGAGTAAAGGTTGAAGCAGCTTCCATAAATTTAGCGGATATTATTCACAAGTTATGGGTTTGGTTTCTGGTACAATCTGGTATTGGAATGCTCACAAACGTTCTTAAAATGATATGCACTTATACCAATGGTTGTGACTTAGGTAGGTTAGTTTATATTAACAACATACTAAAAACAAATATTAAAGACAACTTTTTTGTGCTAGAAGTAAAACACTTTCTCATTTCTGGTTTACGTTTGTAGATATAATAAAGGGTGTTCCAATATTTTAACAGAATGTCCTATCAACTATTTAAAAGGGATTTTTCTTATAAAATGGGGCCTCTTGCATTAAAAAGACAAGATAAATTATTTTTTTTTTTTTGTACGTAAGCTGTTGAATATACGAAAAAATTACAAAACAAATTGTATAATAATGTTTATTTTTTTAATTATACATTTTTTTTATATAAAATTTATATTAACATATACCTTCTTAAGTAAAACAAACATGAGGGTAACCCATAGAAACCTAAAAAGGTTACGCACGGGACTTAGCTCTTGTTCATTTATATCTTACATGTGAAGAAGTAACAAAAAATACAAATATATACAAATGGAATAAAAATGCACAAAATACACAAAAATAGAAAAAATATTAAAATACCGTAAAATACACAAAATAGAATAAAAATACATAAAATACAAAAGGTGAAGGTGTTTTAATAGCAGTGTGAAATGAAATTTTTAGTTTCTCTGAGGACTCGTGGACCTCTGAGGCTGAGAATGTTTGGGTCACCGTTATACCTAACCGCGAAAAATGATACAAGGTTCATATTTGTTGTGTTTACATACCTCCCAGAGACAGGGTGGCACTAAATTTATTTTGCACTAAATTTCTTCATATTTTTCTAGATAACATAAATGATAACTATGTCATTTGTGGCGATTTTAATTTACCACAAATAAAATGGTTTAAAGATACTATCGATAATTACTACAAACCAAACAATTATAGTGATCCCAGTTCTAGTTTATTGGTGGGCACCATGTCCTTGGCTGGTATGTATCAATACAATTCTACTGTTAACGTAGGCGGTAACACTTTAGATCTTGTTTTAAATAATAATTTTCTAATAAAAAATATAAAGTCGTCTACTTTATCACTGGTTGCTGAGAATCCATCACATAATACTCTAGAATTTGATATTAAATATTCTAATGTAACGAATACGAAAGCAAATAATCATTATGAAAAAAAAACTTCAATTTAGCAAACTACACTGAAATAAATCATCTTCTATCTGCAATTGACTGGAATAAACAATTTCAATTTCTTACAATCAATTAATGAGTAACAGTATTTTATGAAATTGTTAATAATATTTTGGACCGTCATGTTAACAAGAATCCCAAGTATTGAAAGCATATCCTTTTTGGTTTTCTTTGTCAACCATTAAAGCTATTGTAATATCCGCTGGTCATCTGTATATATTTTCTACAATAAAACTGAGGGTATTTATTATTTTTCTTAAAATTATTACTTGTAGACTGACTTATTGAAACTAGACTTTAACCCTGTATTGGTTTCGAAGAGAAATTACATAACCTGAAAGGGTAATTACTTATAGGTTTAACTTAGATGTCTATCAAGTCTGTTTGAGCGGTTTAAGGCACTATGGTTTTCTACCAAAAATTAAATATCCTACTAAGGCGTGATTCGTCACGGCTAAATATGCGTGAACCTTTTTTTTTCTAGCTGATATTCTTAATTCTCAGAGAATATTTAACTTTCGTATCATAAATTTCACTGGGGGGTGTGTGTGTGTGGGGAGGGGGTTAATTAAAATCCGTTAGTAAAATAAACAAATATAATGATTAAAAAAAAGGTTTAGTGAGTTTTGACATTCCAAAATATAATAAAATCAACAAACAGAACAAGAAAAAAATTAGGATATAATTCCTAGTAAAATTTAAATTAATTGTCTAAATAGCAATTTGTTTATCCTTCATAAAATTTGAATTTATGGCAGTATAATTAAGGAATATAGAATTGATACAAATAGGTAATGTAACAAAAAAAAAACAAATACAATATGAAATAGTTTTGCCACTGTCACAAAATTTAGAGGCTACTCAATTCAGTTTAGAGCAGGTCGTAAACCCAGTGAATTCCCGTTTTTTTTTTTTACTTTTTAATTTTGACACCAATAAAATATACAATAACTGTAACTTCTATTCTTACAGAAAAGGAGAGAGTACTATAATAGCTTAAACAAATTTATCAAACTACAAGTTGATACCATATAGCTCAAAAGATAAAGTTAGTTATTGTCTCATTGGACTTACCCCTATTATATTGAGGGTTGACTGTTAATCACACCTGTATTAGGTGATCGTCCCCGGATTCGCCTTATCGGTGAACACTACTAAATAACCAGCGCAAAACTACACAACACCGTTCGCGCAGCGAATTTTCTTTAAGTCCCCAAAAAAAATAAAATAATTAGATGACCCAATGAGACCTGTTTTTTGAGTCGTTCCCCCGCGATGAGCCAAAGGCACGAAGTGCTCTTTGGTACTCCCGGGCTTCAACTCCTTTTTTTTTAATCCAACCCGCGTTGAACAATGTAACTTAACTGTTGTATCAGCAACACGTGTAGTTTCATAGCCCACATAGTTCTGTTATTTCCCATAGCTTGCGAAACTAAGTACACTGCCCAGTTTCGCAAAAAAAGTGTATCAACAATTCCATGTTTTTTTTTATATCAAGAAACCTTTGTTTTAAATTACAACTTTGTTTTTATAACGACGTCCGATTGAATTATTAAATAAACTATAACATATTCTTTTATTTGCAAAATTACACATTTATCTATGAAATGTTTACTTGGAAAATTATGATTTTGATTATACCGAGTGACTCGAATAACTTTTATTTAATTTAAATAATTTGAATTATATTTAATAATCACCGATTATTACACTATTAAAGAAATGATAAAATTTAATCGACGCTGGAAAAAATATAATAATGACATGGACTATTTAACTTTCAAAATTTTACGTGGTAGATCAAAATTTTTGATAAACAAGGATAACAAAGAATATTTAAATCGGGTTGAATCTAATATTACTGAAAATCCGAAATATTTTTTTCAATATGTTAAAAACAAAAAAAAATTCCCGCATTTTACCCGATATCTCGTAACCGATACAGGTATAATTACAGATCCACAGGAAATCTGTAACGCCTTTTCTGATTTCTTTTTGTCTGTTTTTGTGCCAAGAGGTCCTAATGATTTTTCTGCTATTTTCCACAATGCTCCTCTGAATATTACCCAATATAAAATATCTCGTGGAATGATTTCATTAAAAATAGACAATTTGCCTGATAAAGGTCCTGGTCCAGACGAGATTCCTACATGCTTTATTAAAAAGTGTAAAAATTATCTCATTGGCCCTTTATATTTCTTATTTAATAAATCTTTAACCGAAGGACAGTTTTCTGATAAATGGAAAACGGCTTTCGTTGTGCCAATCCACAAATCAGGAAATAAAAACAAGGTGAATAATTTTAGACCTAAATCAAAACTTAACTTATTAAGTAAACTATTTGAAAGTTTAATATTCGATTTTCTATTTTGTGATGTCAAGAATATTCTTAACATTGGTTTTATTAAAAAACGATCGGTTGAAACTAATTTATTTATGTTGAATACATATTGAAAAGTTTAAATGACGGAATGTTAGTAGGTTCTGTGTATACCGACTTCAGTAATGTTTTTTATAAAATTGACCATTCCATTCTAATATCGAGGCTCGATGAGGTCGGCGTACATGGAAATCTGCTAAGATGGTTTGACTCTTATGTAAGAAATAGGTCTCAACAGATAGCATTAGGTAAATACAAATCTATATTTATCATTCCTACATCAGGAGTACCACAAGGATCTCATCTTGGGCCGTTACTCTTTAACCTTTATGTCAATAATATATGTAACTGCTTTAAATTCGCGAAATTTATCATGTACGCTGACAATCTAAAAATCATTCTATAACTTGCTCACTGATAGGATTTTGTTTCAGCAAGATCTAGATAGATTTTGCGATTATTGTAGAAAACATAACTTGTTTTTGAATACATCTAAGGGTAGTTATATACAGTTTACTCGAAGTAACACTTATTTACATAATAGTTACATCATTAATGAATATACACTTCAACCAGTGGATAAAGTAAATGACTTGGGTATATTTCTCGACTCCAAATTATTGTTTGATGAGCATATATATTATATCACTAGTAAAGCAAATAAAGCATTAGGCTTTATTTTAAGAACAAGTTACGAATTTAAAAATCCTCATACAATCAGAGCCTTATATATATATATATATATATATATATATATATATATATATATATATATATATGTCAAAAGGCAGTTTTGAGGACGAAAAGTAGTAACTAATGGCAGATTCGAGGACATTTGGTGCTTATGAGGTCGGTCCTCATAAGATTTTATGTATTATGGCATGTTTGGAGACTGTCCTCATAAGATTACATATAGATAGGTTGTTTTAAGGACATTATGCCGTTCGGCGTTTTTGAGGACAATAAATAAAAAATTTACCTTAATCCAAGGTTTTGTGGTTAAAAAATGCGAATATTACACAACTTTTTTTTAAACTTCGTATTTGTAGTGAGATATTTAAATATTGATTGGCATATATGAAAATATTGACTTTGATTATAATATACAGTGTATCTTGAAACGATTATGAAACATAATGTCGATTTTAAGTTTACTGCTCTCAAAAACGCTTTTTTGCATAAATTAATTAAAATTCATTTGCGGTAGTACTTTTTGTAGTTTAAATGGCATTTAAAATAGAATTTACTAAAATCGTACAATGTAATCCTGCGATATTGAGGTCGAAAAATCCGAATCTAAAGTAATATATAGGTATTTAAATATGGAAGGCCATATATGGGGACAATGACTTTAATAAGATACAGTGAGTCTTAATACGACTATAGAGAAAATTAAGCAAAAAATAATGTCAGATTTGTGTTTACTGACCTGGAAAGTGCTTTATTGCAATATTTTATAAAAATCCATTTGCACTCGCACTTTTTAATGTTTAAAAGGTATTTAATAC